ACAAGAAATTTCATTCAGAGTAAACTGTCTACAAATTGGTCGCCCAAAAAAGACCAGGGTGCGACCACAGGGTTGCTTTGTGTCTTACAAAATGGTTCTCCCATTTTCCGCAGTTTTTTTGAACACTATGTTAATCCAAAATACTTGATATTGGTGGGCAGGTGGGGTATCCTGGTGCCATCATGTTGTAGGCAGTAACCCCCATGGGTGCTACCATTTTGTAGGTGTCCCCATACCATTTTGTAGGGGGATAGGCTGGGCACCCTACAGAATGGAGCTCTCATCGTCTCAGGGCGAATTTCAAGGGGGATATATATATATATATATTTAATAATTTATTGTTTTTTTTATTTATTAGTATTAATTATTTATATTTTTTAGATTCGAAATATATTTTATATTATAATAATATATATTATTTAATATTTTAATGTTTAAAAATAAATCGGAAATAAAATATATTATTTTCTTATATATTTAAATATATATATATATTAATTTCTAAAAATATTCCGAATATAATATATATTTTATTATTATATTTATATTTATATCGTATTTTTTATTTATTATGTTTTTAAAAATTACATATTTGTCATTTTAAAAATTATATATTAAATTTCCGGAATTATAAAATTTTAATTTCCACCCAAAAATAATTCCCCAATTATATTCTATAAAGCGGTTCTCGAAAACTCCTCCCGATAATTCTTATTAAAATCTATTCCCCAAAATTATTTCCAAAATTACCCCAAAAAAATTATACCCCACAATAATAATTTATTATTTAAAATTATTTCTCAAAATAATATATTTTATTGTATTTTTTTCTAATATGGATCCAAAAAATATTTAATAATGTTTCCCAATTATTTTGCCAAAAATAATTTACCAAAATTATATTTTAAAATTATTTTTTAAAAAAACAAATATAAATTTATTTTTCAAAATTATTCCTTTTTTTAAAAATTAATTTCCAAACCTATTCCAATAAATTATTCCCAAATCACTCCCCAAAATTATTATCAAAATTAACTCCGAACAGCTTCCCAAAATTACTACACCTACCCCTACAAATTATTTCCAAAACCTGGTTCTCAAAATTATTTTCTTCAAAATAATTATTTATCAATATTCTTATAAAATCGTAAAATTAGTACCCCTAATTATTTTCCAAATTGTTAAAATTATTTTTCAAAATTACTATCAAATACCACGTTCCAAAAAAAAAAATCAAAGCTATTCCCCACAGCTGCCCCAAAGCTAGTCCGGAAAGGCATCCAAAGCTGCTTCCCGGGCGGTATTGCTCCTCAAAGTTACTTCCCGGTATTACTGCCCCAAAATTATTTTTCAAAATTATTATTCCAAAACTACAATTTTATAAATTAATTTATAAAAATAGTAATTTCCCAAAATTATTCTATAAAATAACTCCCAATAAAAAATACCAAAAACTACTCTCCAATATTATCTATAAAATTACCCCCAAAAATTATTTCCAAAACTATTATTCTTCAAAACAATTGTTATAATAATGGCCAAAATTTCTGCTCCCCCAAATTAATTCCCCAAAATTATTTTCCAAAACTATATCCCAAAATACTTCTATAAAGCGAATACCCCAAAGCGACTATATTTCAAACCTATTCCCCAAAGTAGCACCCCGAAGCTATTCTACAAAGCGATTCCTAAAAACTACTACCCAAATTTACCGTCAAAAATTACTCCCCAAAATTACATTTAAATTTTAAT